GCGCCTGCTGCGGGGTGATGGCTAGTACTGTATCAGCTCTGTAAGACGTTTGTGGAAGGAATACGTAGTGTGCCGTTCCATGCTGAATCTCTGTTACACTTCAAAAATCTGACTCTGTCCCAGTCTGCTAAAATACTGCTGTAACTGAGTGACTAAATAAAGCTGCACAGTGCTGTTGTTATGAGAATTGCTGCTGAAAACGACATCAGAAACAAAAAAGTCAGTTGGCTGAGGTGGGCAGCAGGCCTGCCCGCCCCGTGCTGGGTGGAGGGGTCTGTAGCAGCGCTGTTCCTCGCATCCACAGGCGTGCTGCATGCCGGCCTTCCCCCAGAGCACCCCCTTTGTCTCCGTTTCACAATCGGAGCCTTGTTTTGACACCTCAGCGGTCGTCAGCTGTTGTCTCTCATTTTCAAAAAGAGTTCAGAACCACCTCCCTTTGGCTGCTGCCACTTCAACAAACAAGTCCTTGTTGCCACATGACTGGGCTGAGGCTTTTTTTGGTAAGGGTTTCTAGAAGATCACTGTTGAATGGCAACTTGTGTGTCGCTTCCCGCAGCCTCAGAGCGTGGAGTCTGTGACCTGTTCTGTGCTGGGACCCCAAGTGCTGTGGTGGAGAAAAGAACTGGGTTGGGTTTGGTGTCTGCCTGCAGGTGTGTGGGGATAGCACATGGTGCTGCAGGGTGGGTCTGGAGATGGGCTCCTGCCTGCACCCAGATGTGTCATCTGTGTTTCTTCTGGGGTGTGAGAAGTAGATGCGACTGTACTCGTGTGGTAAGGAGAGATGCTGGTTAGGTAGAGCGGGTGCCTTAAATCCCAAACCCTTCCTCCAAGGATGCCCGCGGGTCCCGGTGCTGCTCTGTGGGCAGGAGCAGGCTGCGGTCGGAGGTACTCAGCCCTAGGGAGCGCGTGCCCAGGGAGGCCTTGGGTTCTGCAGCTTCTGTTGGTGTCCAGCACTCGGTCCTGTCACAGAATGGCAGGGGTTGGCAGGGCCCTCTGTGGATCACCCAGCCCAACCCCTGCCCAAGCAGGGTCACCCAGAGCAGGCTGCACAGCACCGCGTCCAGGCGGGGCTGGAATATCTCCAGAGAAGGAG